CATTTCAACAAATCTGTTTATCTGTTTACCCTGAATAACCTGTCCCTATCATCTGTGTCCACTTGAATTGTCTTCTGCATTATGGTATGTTTGTGTTTTTATCATGTTCTGTTGCCTCTTAGAATATTTAACAAATTGTACGGTGTCCTGAAAGGCACCTTAAATAAAGTGTATTATTAATATTATTATTAAAAGCCTGCAAACCTCTCGTCATTTGAACAGTAAAATACATGTAAAACATATAAATAGAGACTTTGTGTTCACATGGGATGCAATATGATATTAATCGATTCATACTTTTTGTGGTTTGATCTTAACAATTGTGAGAAATAATGAAAAACGTCCATCTCAGTGTCTCAGAGTCGAAGTGACAGCAATGATTTTCATTTGGAACCAGACCAGATGCTTTTGGCAGTACACTTTTTGCATAATTGCTTATACAATTACAAAGTATTAATTAAAAAAGTTGTCATGTGAATGGTGATTAAGAATCAAGGTAAAAGTACACTTTGTTTGATTTAAATGTTCCGTTTATTTTGCATTTTTCCACAATCCGCTGCATAATGTTTTCTTTCTTTGACTCGTATAAGGAAATGCTGTTTTGTTCGTACACAATTATATATAACAATATATTATTTAGTATACAAAAACCTACCCTTTGTAGAAAAAATATAATAAATATATCAAAATCTATCAATGATTTCCTCCTTATAATTCTTCGGCATTAATTATAAATCGTAGTAATTTTGCCTTTCGATTGCACAAAAGCTGAACGTTTAATTATGGTTGGTAGGAAAACTCTGACAAAAATGATCCAAGTGGGAAAGTTGAAAAAAAGCAAAACGGGCATTACCGAAATATTAAAACAGGTAGGAAATCCCCCGTGCTTCAGGAGGTGGCTATCCGAAATGATTCCCTCTGCTAGGATGGAGCAAACTCACTCCAACAGACTGAATTCACAGGATTACTTCATTAAGGTGGGAAAGCCGTTTCTGACATTGCTCGAGGATAATTCATAATTTAATTAAAGAGCTCTGCTGCTGCTTGTATTTTACTCACTCTGTAAAGACTGCGTCATTCTTAATTTTGTCTGATGTTTGATAGATAGATAGATAGATAGATAAACAAACAGACAGACAGACAGACAGACAGACAGACACGTTGCATAGCGCTATTTTATTGTGCCGATCGATCGGAACATCCATACATAAGAGAAACTAAGACACAGAAATAAACAGTATTTTACGGTATCAACGGTATTTTGTTGTTGTCGTTGTTAGTGGGTTACCCTTGGCCTTTTTGTTTGTATCTACGATGCTGTCGACTGGCAGCTTTAGACTATTCTCAGGAATTGTCAATGTAATACCCAGCCTTTCTTTTCTTTTCTTGTGCGCCATGTAAAGGTTTCGGGTACCTACTCACTGTATATTGTGTCTTTGATTAAAAAAAGGTAGGAAACCTGAAAGTAAGAGAGTTCATTCTGCCGCCGGATGTCTCCTCATGTCTACCTCGTGTTTCCAGGACCTCCCAGGAGCCTGCAGCATCACAGATCTGCACGACGCTCTGTCCCTCTCTGAGGCCGGGGACCGCAGGTTGTTCCTCATCGGGACCCACGTGAAGAAGGGCGAGGGCGAGCTCAGCTCTGGCGTTCAGGACGCTCGAGACCTCATCCTGCAGATGGTCTCTGACAGCAGATAGGACACATCTCATCCTTAAACCTCTGTTTTTCACTTTGATTTAACACGTTCTCTGCATATATTTTCACTACACCAGGTAGGCTGACACTTTATTTATTAATAAGAACATTTAAAAGTATTTAACCGTTTTGGTTTCGGGGTTATAAAGTAGATTCTGGATTTGTTCCAAACTTCTCAAACATTTTTGTTCTTCAACCGTTACAACCAACAATTAGTTATTTTGTTGTCTTCATTTAAACTAAAGGCCTACTGGACACGCTTATGTTCAAACGTTATGTTCAAACGTTATGTTCACCAAAGATTTATTTTCACCAAAACGGATGTTGAGTCTCATCAACAGAGCCATACATGTTCCACTTTACAGACTGTTACTGTGCGTTATTCCTGAAGCCTCTCAGCGGTAGATGGTGAAACAGTTCAGGTTTTACCGCAGATTGCCTGATGGTACAGAATCTCAGAGGCTACATTTCAGGGTGTAGGTTTGATCAAGCCGTCAGCTTTAGCACCAGCATTGCTAACAGTCGATTAGCATCAGTTTGTTATGTAAGAAAACTAAATGTAAAAGCACTGTCGGCACTAACAGAGTTATTTTTCTAACCTGGTCTGCATCATAATGTTCTTCATGTGTGGTGATCGGAAGAATATTAAATACCTCGACTCTCAAAGCTGTCCTATGATATTTTTATGGGGGAAAAAAACCATCATATAAACCTAATACAAGGCTACTGATTAAGATCTGGTATTATCACTTCACATTTTGGCAAAACAGAAAAAAAAGGCTGCTCTATTCAGGTGGTACGGGACTTTTTTTGTACTTTAACTTTTCAAGCAGTGACCTATTTCTGCCATTTCGCACGGCAACATGCATATTAACTATTGCAGCTTTAAAAAATTAAAACCCGTTGGTGACCCGTTAATATTTCAACTGATAAAGAAATAGCACAATTACACCACAACTACCTAAAGCTAGGGTGGGTCATTTTAATTTAGAATCCAGAAACAAAAAAAGGGCACTATATGTTGCTGTGAATGCTCGGAAAAGCCATGTCTTCTTGTTACGTTCATCATAATGTGTTCATCCGGGTCATTTTGGGAGAGTGGCTTTGGAGTGGAATCGGGCCGTTTCTCAATGTCGAGTAAACCTGCTGCAGAGCCACTATTTCAAGTATACTACGTCATCCAGTGGCACCGAAGGACTGTTTAAATGCATGCCCAGCATTTGGCGCCACTCGATGACGTTGTATACTTGAAATAGTGGCTCTGCAGCAGGTATACTCGACATTGAGAAACGGCCACTTTCTTGCTAGATTTAGCCACTTTTGAGCTAGTGGTGCTAGCTACCTAAAAGAGCAGGCAACACTGGGATGGGTTTTTCTGTTGGTTAATTGAAAAAATGCTGCATTCTCCAATATTACCCAGCCAAGCGATGTCTAAATGTCTGAATAAAACAGTGGTTTAACGAAGCAATTAGAATCAGATCTGCCTTAATAATACGCTGTTTTATTGTCATTTCATTATGAAAATCAGACACCTAACCACTAAACCTTAACACTACCCGATCACTATTACTGCAGGGGGTTATTGTTGGATTACAGCTTTGCAAAAAACATTATTGGTTTTATCATGAGTGTTCGTACATACTTTGATAAGTGTTCATCTTAAATAGGGTTTTACTTGTATTTTTCTAGTCGCTTTTGTATTAGCGTGGTGTTTTTGTTGTTTAGAGAGCCGACACAGCTGCTTGTTATTAAGTCTTAATGCTTTTTTTATTTGGTGAAATCTGTCTGTAAGCATTGGGATAAAAAGGGAAATACATTGTTTTGTGCAAAGCCTTCACGAGTACCATTTCTAAGGAGGTTTCAAAAAGAAGCACTTTTTTTATTTAATTTACATTTTCAGAGCCTTTTACCAAAACCAAAATGTCAAACAGACATGTGTGTGAACAGTTTGAATGTATTTTTTCACACTTAAATAAATTGTTTCCACTAAATGTGTTGGTTGTCGTGTGTTTTGTTTTTAATTTAAATATGGGAATTGAACTCATGATGCATACAGACGCACATGGACATGCGTTTCATAGGATGAAATATCATACATTTTATGTCCAAAACGTATGTGTATTATAGCATATATGGAGAGCTTAATATATGGACGGCTAAATTGTATAACGTGAGGGGTCGCTTTACAAATGTCAAGATACATTACATTATTTAAAGAAAAACCCAGGCATACACTTCCCAGTTATGATATGCTTCTCAATTTAAGTATAGCTTTTTTAAATGTAAGACCTTTTTTCAGAGACTTACCCTTCAAACAAAGCACATTTCCTATTTATTATAACCTACCTGACAATAAACCTGATTCTGATGCCATCATATACGATTACACTTCATTACTGTAGTAGAGTAAAGTCCTCTCATTTAAATGAATCATTATTTCCCTTGATATATAACTGGATTACATTCATTGCTATCACACACTGTTGTTATATCACCTGTAGTGCTATATGTCAGCCTCTTGTGGCTACAGTTAGTATTACATAGACAAATACAAAAACTACAAAACCTTTATTTCCCATCTTAATAATAATAAATTTATTTTGTAAGTGCTTACAGAGATAGTGAAAAGAAAAGAAAAACAAATAAAATCAAGCAATATAACAACAATCACACATTAAAAGCCAGATTGAGGTGATTTTTTGTGAGTTATTTTATTTTATTATTTTTTGTGAATCTTATTTTAACAGATGGAAAAACAACTTCGAAAAAGTAACCTGGCAAACCTTTTTTGGTATCCGTTTAAAGTCACGATCACAATATATGATAGGCTGTTCATCAGATTAAAAACAATGTATTCCCACAATTGTCTTGTTATCCCTTGCCTCTAAGGGCTTCTACCTTTTTATATATAGCCTACAGTCTATGGCTTCTACATATTTCTTAACGGGAAAAAAAAAGATTCTCGTCTTAACATCTGATATTCAATCTGTCGTCGACCATCACAGTACCGCTCTGAAATCTGATCCAAACCCAGCTGACCTGCTTGTATCACTTACTTTTAAACGTACGTCTTGAGACAGTTCACAGACTCCAGTTTCAAGGAGTCCTCGCTGTGGAGATGGTTGCTAAGGACTCCTGGCTGCATAGCAACAGCAGGAGATTAGTGCAAGCGGACCCATCCTGCAGAGAGGAGAGGAGAGATGTCTGCAAAACAACGTACAGGTACTAGATAGGATGTAAACGGTGTGTTTAAATGTTTGCAGTCTTGTATTTTCATCCTAATTTACTTTCTTGTTCATTCCTGCAGGGATTCTGTCCAGATTTGGTCCATCAGAAAGGTGAGGTCACATCATATTTGTTATAAAGTTCACACATTTTAGATGCATCTATTGTGTTTTACCTACATCAAAATTCGTTTTTAGTGTGTTATTGTTGTCTGGTAAACAGTAGGAGCAAACATAGAACACACATAAGTGGAAAAGCTTATATGAAGACCATTAAATGACAATAATTTCATATAAAACAGAAAGTTGCATCATTTTCTAAAAGCTTTTAAGTTTAAGAATTCTGTTCTAAGAGAAAAGGTAAAAGCTATGGTGGTAGTTACGAAAATTGATGTTAAAGGTCACCTATCATGCTATTTTTAGGCAATAGCATAGGTCTCAGATATATACAAATATATCAAAAACATGTCTATGAAGTGTTTTGCTCAAAATACCAAACAGATCACCCATTCTAGCCATGCCTCATATCCCTCTATTTCACTTCCTGTGTCAAAAGTGCTGATATATATAGCTTTAAAAAATGTATAACAAATAAAAAAGGAGGGGTCTGAGCTCATGCGGGACCCGGCAGCTACTGTCTAAACTAAATACTGCGGTGATGAAACGCCATATCATGGATTATCAAGGATTATTTCTGAAACAGTATGGAGCTCAAAGGTTTTCTCTCTTGCCGGTTATACCACAAGGTGAGTTCCTTTTTATTTCCTGCTTCTTCACACACATGCTCTCCAGTACAGGTTAGCTCTGAGTGTTAGCGATGCTAATGTAAACATGCACCGACCATATTACGTCCAAAACAGTCGGGCATTGTTTCTGATAGCAACTTTCTGATAGGGCCGTGGGTCCACTTTTCCGATATGACGTCATATCGGACGCAAATCTGGATCAGCTCCGTTGTTCCCCCGTTTTTAGAGATTTGGGTACGGAGGAAAAGAGAGAGGGTTTTATTTTCTGACGCTGCGTGAGTTCCCTGACACACCGGGGACACATACTTATGTATAAAAGACATCAACAGGTTAAATGTAATAAAGGACATGTTATGTAAGCATTTTAATTCTTAAATGGCTTGAATTTTACCTTTAGCAACAAACAAAAAAAGCTTTTGAAATGTTGCTCGATAATCTTGGACATGTTGTCATGGGAACACAAAATCAAATGTCCTGGCCCAGGGCCCCCCAGACTGTTCAGGGTGTGTCACTTAGGGACTTCATGAGATAAAATAAAGGCTAAAGCTGAATAAGGAACTTTCCAGAACATTTAAAGTTCATGTGACACCCGGTGGGTCCTTATGGGTTTTAATGTGTGAGATTTGTTATACCTCGGGACTGTGGGAAACAGTATATCGATCTTTCTGTGTGTACAAACATATTTTGAGTTTGACAATCAAGTTGACTTTGATAAATATATATATGTGTCTTCATAGGATGAGTTATACAAATAAATACTGTTCATTTTAGACACTTTGAATGCTGTTATGTCTGCCGCTTATCTGTTATTAATAATACGTCCTCTTCAAGGGGTTACTCGTGGAATAAAGAAAACGTAATGTCAGTCCTGAAAAGTAAAACCTCTGTCATCGTGGATAAATATTGACAGTGACTTTGATCAGCTTCTCAATGAGGTTTTCAGCTTGAAGCCAGCCTGTTAGCTGAAGAGTGAGACCAGTTGTTTGATGCCAGAGAGAAAGAACAGCAACGGAGTGATTGCACGTTCTGCCCAGAGTCTCTGTATCCGACTCGTTTTAAAGCTGATTTGTGTTTTTTGGGAATGTTTTCTTGGCAGGATCCTGGAGCTGGCGCAGCACAAAACCTCAAAGACTGTTTGGGAGACGACTCCTTGGTGAGCACCACACCACATCTCTCCTCTTGATTAAAAGTGGTTTCTTTCTCACATATATAACAATTTAAACTCTTCTGATACCACACGACGCATCACAGCGGCCTCTGTTCAGTATGTCCTTGGTCATTCTTGGTCTCAGCCCCAGCTGTTACATCACATGAAATTGCACGTTAGTCCATTGATCTGGTGTGAAAGAGAGTCCAAGAATTGAAAAGCCTCTGGTCAGTGTTTCCTTTCTTTGAGTTTCTTTCAGCAACATAATTAGAGAAAGATGTCTGGCACGCTCTGGATGGATGTGTGGTTGAAATGGCAGAACATTGAGAAACTGAACAGCGGTCACTTCTGATTGAGAGTATTATTCTTTCATTTGGTAATCGCCCGCTGGAAAATATTTATATAGAGTGTAAAAAAGATCCATTCACATCGCAATATAATCACTTGTATTATAATATTGAGTATTGATTTGTTTATGAATGAAAGTGTAGTATATTACATATACAAATCAAACAGCTAGTGTCTCATGTACATATACTATATGTACATGAGACACATACTATTAATATATGTACATGAGACACATATACTATGAGACACATATACTATATGTACATGAGACACATATACTATATGTACATGAGACACATATACTATATGTACATGAGACACATATACTATATGTACATGAGACACATACTATTACTATATGTACATGAGACACATATACTATATGTACATGAGACACATATACTATATGTACATGAGACACATATACTATGAGACACATATACTATATGTACATGAGACACATATACTATGAGACACATATACTATATGTACATGAGACACATATACTATGAGACACATATACTATATGTACATGAGACACTTGCTGTTTGATTTTTCTAAAACTTAATTTGTTAAGCTAAAAACTAATACATATTTTCTTATATTTTTTCACAAGTTATTTTACTTATATAGGCACATTTTATATTTTTCTTTGCTCAGATTGCACACTAAGTTGTGGCATGTTCTTGTACGTTACAGGGACTATAATAATCTTATTTACATAAAAGTAAAACTAGTTAGTCTCTTTCAGATGAACAATCTCCAACACAGCATCACACATGTAATGTTACAGACAATAAAAACAAATCAGAACATAAGTACGTCATAAAATAAGACATTTTCTAGGTCACACACAGGGGAAATAGCTATGATAGTTTTCCTAAAGCTATGTTTAGGATTCAAGAAGAACTTCAGTGACACAACAACATTTATTTTGTGCTGCACCTGTAGACACAACATATAGGTTAAATCTCTCTCTCTCAATGTGTGCAATATATCACCTTGCTTACAGAATCACAAAACATTGAAGTGTAACACCTGTATCATGATGTTTACCATAGCCCCAGGTTCCTTCAAACACAACATCTTTCTTCTCCACCAACTTCATCATCATCATCTCTGCTCCTTTTGTAAACTTTTCATGTTTTTCTTGATCAGTGAGAAGGTATTTGGGGCAACCAGGATCCGATATGAAATGAGCTATGACAGTTTTTCTAAAGCTAGGATTCAAGAAGTACTTAAAGGTAGGGTAGGTAAGAATGGAGAAACCAGCTCAAGTGCGCTAGAATTTGAAAGTATGCAGCCGAAAAAAATCTGCCCCTTCCTTCAGACTTCCTTACAGAGCCCCTGAGGCAGGTAGGCCATTCAGTTATTTTAGCCGGGTCGGCTCAGATGATTGGTCGTGCTTTTTACAGTACCACGGCTTCCACAGATCAAATGTTTTTATGTATTTATTGTCAAAGCATTTCATGTATTCATTGCTATCGGGATGTGAAGAGCATTCCATGGAATATAACAAAAAGTGTTTCTGAAGTGAATTACCTACCCTACCTTTAAGTGTTTTGTAAACTTTTCATGTTTTTCTTGATCAGTGAGAAGGTGATCTGGGGCAACCAGGATCCGATATGGCCGCTCTGTGCATCAGGATCCGCTCCAAGTGCAAGAATTCAATACCTGTCCAGACACAAAAGAGACTTCTCAGCAAGGGAGGACCCCCCCACAGGTACAGTATTGATGACTCTTTTGAAAAAGGCACGAGAGGTCTGACACGAGCCTTTTCATCCTGTGCTGCATCGACATATTCGAGAAAATGTTTGCAAAGCTGAAGAGATAATGACTCTGATGCTGTTTTGGCACTGAGTTTATTCAGGAAATGCAAAGTGATGTTCAGGACTGAAGCCAGCAGCTGCATCCCCATCTCCTCCGAGGGCTTCAGGATCGATTAGCGGAGTCTTTTAGAGGCTTTTATTTTGATAATGTTTGTTGTTTCCCCCCTCCCCCGCCTCAGCTGTCAGATTCTAAGCACAGCCACATGCAGCGTAACTCAATCAGAAGCCCACACAGGAAGTGCTCCTCGCAGAGTAAATAACAGTAATTCACTGTAACTGAAGATGACAGCAAACACCTGCTGGCTTGCTTTGAAGCAGGAAGTTCATCTGAGATCCAGAGCGGAGGAGATACTGTGGATTCAGGCTGCAAATGAAAATATAGAGATTGTGTTCATTGGCTTGATTTGTATTGGTGAATACGACATCTAAATTGTGATAAATGTGTTATATTCTTCTGCTGCTCTTTCACTCTGCAGTCCACGCAGTTCATTCCTAATCTGATTATCCGTCAGACTCTGTGTTCCTGCTCCTCTTAATCAAATATCACAACATTACTGGTCAAAGTCATTATTAATAGTGTGGAAAGATGTATGGCAGCTGGTGCAGCTACTGTATCATTTCATTATGGACTGATACATGGACATCTTCAAATTGTTTGTTGTGTTATAGCGTGGCTGGATTTTGAGACAGTGAGCCTCCGAAGCAGGATACACAGACTTATTGGTTTTTAAGCCTGTTTTTGTTGCTGTTTTGTGTCTCTGTAGTCATTTTATGTAATTTTCTTAGCCGTTGTCTTTTTGAGAATCTTTCTGGTTGGCACATGTCTCTTTGAGTGACATTTTGTAGTTCAGGGGGGGCAATAAAGCCACTGTTAACAGTTTGAATGCTTCAAAAACATGGTCAAATTATGAAAACACAGTAAAAAGAGACCGTTCTTCCGTACTTAAACATTTAATCTAATGTTAAAATGTTTGCAGGTTAATTTTCTGTTGATTGACTTGTAGTTCTGAAACAATTCGACCATTTCTTAATATGTCAATTCACAAAAAATAAACAGACAGATTTTGTAGTTTTGATAAATCTTCAAAGTTATGAATCAAGCGAAAACCATCAATTGCAGGTTCGAGCTTCTCAGATGTGAGATTTGGCTTTTTTTGGAGAAAATGATTCATCTTGATGGCATACATCTTTAAAAATGTGTCACAAATAGACTTAAATCCGGCTGAGCAACTTCGTAAAACAGCTGGAGGCTGTAGTTAAAGGAAAAATAACGTCAACAAATAAATAGTGCATTTGTTTGGGACTACTCTCAGTAAGTTTCAATCACTACTTGAATCAATGTGTGGTCTTGTCATGCCTTTCATAAAATATGACCAGCCTTATGTTAGGAATAGCTTTGCAGAGATGATGCCTTAAATCCTTTAACATGATAACTGTGACAACATATTCTCTTTCCAGCCAAACAATGAGCCAGAATTAAACTGTCAGCTGGGAGCATTTATCCTCCGTTATGTGTCAGCCCATTGTCTCGACTGGAGTTTAACAAATGTAGATGTTTTTGTGGGTAGAGATGATTTTACCTCGTCCATTGTTCTGTCTCCCCTCCTCCTCCTTCCTCATGGCTCAAGACATTCTTCTGTCGCAGACCAACAACACGTAATGGATGTGGTAACAGCTTCCATGTTCCTGCAGGAAGGAGGAGGAGGCGAGTTTCTCCAGGAAGACCCCACGTCCTTCCTCCAAACCATCCCAATACGAGCACATTGTCCGCCTGTCGACACCCGGGAGCAGGAGGCGCAGCGCCCAGGAAAACCGGTAAAAGCCTCATTACATCCAACATGAGTCAATAAAGTGAGGACAAGTGGAGCAGAACCAAACAACACAGGTCAAATTAGTGCTCTGATGTTTTGTCTTACGCTTACTTTTTTAAAGAGGCCCTATTCTGCTTTTCAGGGTTTCCCCTTTCCTGTAGTGTGTTCTATAGGTTTTGGTGCATGTAAATGGTCTGCAAAGGCTAAAATCCATGTGTTCCCTCAAGAAGGAACAACCTCCATGCCGGAAACGCCTCCATTTTACTCCTTTGTTTACTCCTGTAAGATAGTGACACCCCTAACTCACGTTTCTATTGGCTAGCACTCCAACACATTGTACGTGATAGGCTAAGGGGCGGGACAACTCTAAACAGTTTCGGAGAAGCTAACCAATCAGACCAGACTGGGCTCTGGTTTCAGACAGAGGGTGAAAAGAGGTGAAAATACAAACAATCTGAAGTTATATTACCCTTCTTTTAAGCTAACAAGCTAACATCTTAGCTAAAACTGTTTTATTGTTGTTTTGGTTTTTGCAGATGAAAATCCGTCTAGAAGTTTAACTTTTAACTGGGCTATGGGTGGCTGTGGCTCAGTGGATATAGTGTGATGGACTTTGAATCAGGGGGTAGCAAGTTCGAGTCCCACTGCAGTCAGCATGTCGTTGTGTCCCTGGGCAAGACACTTCACCCCAAATTGCTCCTGTGGGGATTGTCCACAGTACTGAGTATGTAAGTCGCTTTGGATAAAAGCGTCTAACAAGTGACATGTCATGTAATGTAATGCTATATTTTATTTTAAATGTTTTAAGTTATGTAATAATAAACCTTATTGAAACAGCACTTTTCAAAACAATGTTACAAATACATTTCAGGAATGCCAGACCATAACATCAGTCCCACTACAACAATACACATTTTATGGAAATACAAAAACATTGTCCCTAAACCATCATATATATTACCTCAAGATTTACCGATCTTAAAGTGTAAACATATCTATAAAAAAATAAATACATATATATTTCTGTCCCACATGTACATATTATTCTTACTTTTCTCACGTTTTTTCGAGGGGAAATACTGGTTACTTTCACCACTACAGGCCTCTAGAAATCATTTTAAGAAAATAATCTGAGGAGGATAAACATTCTTTGGTCGAACGGCTCATAACTAAACTCTCACTGAAGCTGTAACCACAACGAGACTTTGCTTATTTAAGAAGCGAGGAGCCAGAGCGGGTTATTTATCACGCAGAAATGTCTCGTTTATCGGTTCCATCTGCTCAATTCTGAGGACTTTCTACTTGCAATTGTTTAAATATTTAACTGTTTATCACACAAAACTACCAATCTGAAGACTTCACCATGGACTCTGAGAAATGTGATTTTTCTTTTAGTTTTTTGACATATTATTATTATTATTAGGCGTGTGGCGCAGTGGATTAGTGCGCTGATCTTCGAATCAGAGGATAGCAAGTTCAAGTCCCACTGCAGTCAGCATGTCGTTGTGTCCCTGGGCAAGACACTTCACCCCAAATTGCTCCTGTGGGGATTGCCCACAGTATTGAGTATGTAAGTCGCTTTGGATAAAAGCGTCTAACAAGTGACATGTAATGTAATATTATAAAACAACCTCACGAAGTAAAGGACAGTGCTAAACGTTTGCCTTGTAATTTCAATTATTCTATTTGAATTGTTATGGTCCATTTACCTCAACATAACATTTGGTTACATATTCTCCATATCTAACCACTCATCACTGCTTTAATGTTAAAACAAATCACCAGCACAAAACTAAACTCCTTGAGGTTCCTGTTTTAGAGATTATGTCCACATCTTCCAGCAGACATCCATCTTTTTTTAACTTCAAACTGCTTTCCTTCCCCCTCAGTGTGTCTACAGTCTAGGATGTAATGGCAGCAGAATATTTGATATCATACAGTTAAATATGAGCGGTCCAGGCTCCAACACTACGGTGAGGAAGCCAGCGTTTGGACATCTGTTATTTCAGTGTCAGACTGTGGGAGCATATGAGTCGAGACAATGGAGATTATTGTCCCCAGTTCAGGACCCCTGGGGACGCTCGCAGACAGAACATCTTTTTATAAACCCCGAACACAGCAGCAGAACATGTTGAAGGGATGCACAGACATTTGGTTTACTCTCTGAATTCAATGCTCGAATGTCAGGGTTAGGGGAAATCAGGACCCAAATGCAGAATGAGGAGAAGGGTTCAAAGTAACAAAAAGCTGTTGACAATGAAAAAACCATAAATCCATAAATCTGTAGCATGAGGAACATCCGGACAAAAGCCATCAGGGACCAACATGGAGGGGGATAACAGAATTTCAACATAAAACCATGTCTAAACACACAAAACTAGAATCATGACATCTAAATGAATAGGCGCTGTTGTAATTTAGAAAGCAGGCATTACATTGATTAAAAAAACAAAAGTCACCAGCTGTCTAAACTTAATCCTCTCTTATGGATGCTCCAGAAAAACACCCCAAAAAAATCTAAATAAATGAATGAAGCAGACAAAGGAGCACAAGCAACCTGGCAGATATACTTTGAATACTTCTTCTTAAATGACACATATGTGATATACAGTAAACCTTTTATTAAAGATTACTGTGATAAAACGTACTGGAATTATTATATGGGTTGCTAATGATTTTATTTGTTCATAAAATGAATCCTTGTAATTTGGTCACCATCTGTATAAGGAATCATATGTTTAGTAACTGTTACTGTATAGGTAATATTTCTGGGTTAGTACCTCTTTCCTTCTCTTGATCTCTCTTAACTGGAGACAGTTTAGCCATCATAAATCAACAAATTCACAAATATAAAAATATAAAAATGAACAATCAAAAAAGTATTCCACTGTGTTTTCTAACGGAGGAAAACTAAAGTGTGTTATTCACAGCTGACGTTGAATTGACCGGACTTCTTTCTGCGGATTGATATGACTGCACATAGTCCCCTTGATCCCCCTTAGCAACGGTCTGTTCTCCTTAGCAACGGTCTGTTCTCCTTAGCAACGGTCTGCTCTCCTACCAACGGTCTGTTCTCCTTAGCAACGGTCTGTTCTCCTACCAACGGCCGATACTCCTTAGCAACGGTCTGTTCTCCTTAGCAATGGTCTGTTCTCCTACCAACGGCCGATACTCCTACCAACGGTCTGTTCTCCTTAGCAACGGTCTGTTCTCCTACCAACGGCCGATACTCCTTAGCAACGGTCTGATCTCCTTAGCAACGGTCGGAAAAATAACGGACGTCTGGGAAGTCCAAGTTGACCAATAAGAATTCAACTAAGTTGTGTAATAATATGTTTTAATTTCCTTTAAAAAAGACTTGGTTTTCAACTTATTGTAGTATTGTCTTTTATTGTCATTGCCATTGAAAACATATTTTGTGGATAAACATTTAAATTCACAAAGAAAAGTGCACATTTTAGAAGACAAAACTCATTTGTGTATTCAGTCAAATAAAGCTCAATAAGAAACCTCTTGACTTTTCACATGTGTGTTTCTCCCAGTTCATCAGAGTGTCTCTCTGCTCCCCCAGGCCTCCTCACACTCCTCACTGTGAGAGGAGTTGTCCCATTTGGCACGTCGACCCCCGCCTGAAAACCTCTGCAGTGATAACACCGAGACTCCTGCAGCTCTCCATCCCAAAACTCATCCGTCCGGACTTCCACAGCAACAGAGAGGTGAGATCCTGAAGGACTTACACACTGAAAATATGATGTATGTAATATTTGTATTTAAATATTCATGTGTATTTAAAAAAAATCAAATCAATTTAATCTTATTTGATCCTTTATTGGACATTTGACTTTATCCTCTTAAGTTAATATACTGCCTAAGTTGTAAGTATAATAATTCTCATGTTTCATTTAGTTATTATTATTTATTTTTTGTATTATTGTTTTACACATTCTAACTAAATCAAATCAAATAAAAAAAATATAAAAATCTTTACTTTATTTTATTCTATCTTTGTATTGGAGCTTCTTTCTTCAACTTGTTTATATAAGAAGTTAATACATATTTGTATTCCTATTTTTATTTCAGTCTAAAAGTGAGCCATAATGTTTATACGTCAATATTCTGATCTGATCAAGCGTCAACAGACAGAATATTGAGGTGTTTCTCAATGTCGAGGAAGGCTCCTCACGAGCCACTATTTCAAGGATGCTACGTCATCGAGACCCGCCGAAGAACTGTTCCAATGTCCAGGATCCTTGGAATTCTACCGAGGCCGGCGTCCTTCGTTGCGGGAAATTTCGAGGCTGCACATGTGTATCCTCCGCGGTCTTAAAATCCCCACAATGCTTTGCGCACGGACCAATTTCCAAAATCTTTGGAGGAAATCGCGCTCCATTTAAGGCGGGGCCTCGCATATGACGCACACCTGCACACCTGTTAGCCTGTTCCACCATTCTTCATTTTCCGAGGCTAGGAAGGATTCTTGCCTCGCTTCTGAAGGACCTGACTCGGAAGACATGTCCTACCAAGGAAGCGTCCTCGACATTCAGAAACACCCAGGGTATTGAGCGCTGAACAGATCATAATTATTTTACAAAATATGTGCCTATTTGCATCCATTTGCAGAACAGAAATGTCAACATTGGATAAAGGTTAGATTATATAATATACTTTATTTATCCCAAATTGGGAAATTATTTTGTTACAGGACCAGTGTGCTCAACATTAAAAAACAAATAGCATATCAAATATAAACAATATACACAATTCTGGATAATTACACATTTCTTTAACCCTCCTGTTGTCTTCGGGTCAGATCTGACCGATTTACTACTTTCATCAATCATAACTTTTTTGTTTTACATTCGATTGCATCAAGGCTTTATGATATCCTTCACAGTAGACATTTGAACATGTAAAATTGCTGATCACCACTTTCATTGAGTTTTGGATGATTTAGTCAACTTTGTAACACCCATGGTGTTCCCGGGCAAAAATGACCGCCATAAAGAAAAGGAATTAGTAACCATCCGGATCAGATAAAACACACACACACACGCACACACGCACACACGCGCACACGTGCACACGTGCACACACGCACACGCACACGCATGCACACGCACGCACACGCACGCACGCACGCACACACACACACACACACACACACACACACACACACACACACACACACACACATACTCTAGATGTGTTCCCGCTCTTATGTGCCCATCCCCCCATGTGAATCACACCTAGCACACGCAATACATGTTCAGTGTCTGTTCTTTGTATATTTACTGCAGTTTTTCATGTATACCAGTAGTCTGATACAATATGTACAGTTTGAAAGGGTGTTAAATGAAATTTGGTGATGATTAAGGGTTTTTGTGTTAATGTAATAGCAGTTAAAACAGGACCGGTCAAATTTGACCGCTAACACCAAAGTAAGGGGGGGGGAAACGAGGACAATAGGAGGGTTAAAAATGTCAAAAATGTTGCAGTAGCAGAAATATAGGCTTATAATATACTGTATATACATATGATAGTATATAATTTACAGATATACAGAATAATTGCAAATTGTAATCAGGAAGGACAAACTCAACTTTGTTAAATGTTTTTATTTCTTATCACTGGTTTAATGATTTCATCAACACAATCACTTTGATACAGCAGAATCTCAGCTATGTAAAAGAACAATGAATCATTCATTACTGATTAATATGATCATGATATTTACAGATCTATGTAATTGAAGATGTTTTTAAAAATGCACACAAACAGAGCAAAGTGTCCAGGAAGTAGTTCTGCTAGTTCTTCTCTTAAGACCCATGCAGTGGAAGAGGGTCAGCAACATAGAAATACATGAAAACCCATTTTTAACAATATTTTCGAGCATAAAGAAATGTAAATATTCATGCAGAGAAACAAACATAATCATGAGCAGTGATAGCTAAACACACTAAATAAACTCTAACATTTACAACATACCAATTTAAGACAATATGTCAAAGTACAGCCCATAATGTTTGATTGATATCTGAAGAAATGCCACAACAATCAGCTGTCAGCGGCAAACATTGAGATAAATGAGTTCAAGGGTTAATGAGGCCTTATTATGCTTTTTGGTGTTTCTCTTTCCTTCAGTGTGTCGTATAGGTTTGTGTGCATGTCAATGGTCTGCAGGGAGTTTTTCTTAGTTTGCGCTACTATTGGCTAGCGCTCCAACACATTGTACGTGATAGGCTAAGGGGCGGGACATCTCTAAGCTGTTGACCAATCACAACAGAGCCGGCCAGCTAACCAATCAGAGCAGACTGGGCTCTGGTTTCAGACAAAGGGTGAAAAGAGGTGCTGCAGCACAGGCAGTATGAGACAAATAAAGAGCTTTTTGAACATTAAAGCATGGAAACATGTCCCAGTAAAGGTACAAAATAAAAATATGAACCTGAAAATGAACAACATATGGCACCTTTAAATGATTATTTGAGTTTGCAGAACTCAGCAGTGTCTCCAATAGAACTGTAATTACCACATAGCTCCACCATAGAGCGGCTGAGTGAATGTGGTCTGGACTCTGTAGAGGAGAGTCATGGTTTCAGAGATGCTGTAGAAGGACAGAACGCCTGCTCTGTGATCCAGATACACTCCTACTTTGTTGGACTGAGGAACTGCGACGGGAGTTTTGATGTTGTTGTACCAAAAGGTATAACCGTCATTTAAACAATATAACCCCCATGAACTATCATTGAATCCAAACAAACATTCCTCCCGACCCCCTGCTCTGCTGGTGTTCTTGTATGTAACTCCTACACAAAGTCCCCTCCCATCACCCCACTCCGTTTCCCAGTAACAACGGCCAGTCACACTCTCTGTACTCAGGATCTGAGAATAAAAAGTGAATGTGTCTGTGTATTCCAGGTCTACACTTTTTACTGTGTTTCGATCAAAATTGATTTCATCTGAATATTTTAGGAATTCAGCCCTGGTCTTTGGCTCTGGTGGTGGCAGTAAAACTTCCACTTCACTCACCATCAGTGAAGTGTCGTTCAACGTCTTCCTCAGGACGTCCTGTTGTCTATCTCTGATTTCTGACACAGCCGCTGTCACGTCCTCAAAGTAGCGCAGAGGATGGATGTTGATGCTGGATAACTGTTTAGGTTCACTGAGAGGTAACAGAGAGGGGTAGTTGAGCAGAAACTGGTTGTTATCCTCTGTGTGAGAGAGCTTCTTCAGCTCAGCATCTCTCCTCTTCAGCTCAGAGATCTCCTGCTCCAGCTTCTCCTGAAGCTCTTTGACTCGACTCATTTCACTCTTCTGCTGGGATCTGACCTGCTGCTTCAGCTCAGTGAACATCTTCTTACTCTCATCCACTGCTTTATCAGCACAGCCATTGATGGCCTTTGCTTCCTGCCGAAGCAGTTTCACCTCCTTTTCTCTGTCCTGGATTCCCTGCTGGATGTTTTGTTGACTCCCCTTCATCTGTCTCTGCCTCTCAGTCCTTTCTGCTGCAGCTGACACCGTGTCGTGACCTTTATGTTCACCCTGAGTGCAGAGATAACAGATACACTGCTGATCAGTGCGGCAGAACATCTTCATCACCTCGTTGTGACGAGAGCAGATGTTCTCCTGGAGCTTCTTGGAGGGCTCCACCAGCTTGTGTTTCTTAAAGGCAGGTGATTCATAATGAGGCTGGAGGTGTTTCTCACAGTATGAGGCCACACACTGCAGACAGGACTTCAAAGCTTTCAGTTTTCTCCCAGTGCAGAAATCACATCCCACATATTCAGCTCCAGCATAGCAGAGATCAGCAGAACCAGTCTCCTTCAGCTCCTCCACTAAGTCTGCTAGCATAGTGTTTTTCACCAGGACAGGCCATGGTGCAAAGGTCTGTCTACACACAGGGCAGCTGTAGATTAGATTATCATCCCAGTGGCGTTGAATACAGTTCATGCAGTAGTTGTGTCCACAGGGAATAGTCACCGGTTCCTTCAGTAGATCCAGACAGATCGAACAGCTGATTATTTCTTGTTGCGCCATTTCCTCTCTTAGTGAGTTAGCGACTGTCAACTACTTTTTCTATCTCTGAACAGATAGTCTTTAAGCTCCGTAGGACAACAAATATCTGCTACGTCTGCTCTTGTTCACTTCCTGCAGTGAATGAGGAATCAGCTGAGAGTCACATGATCTGTTGCTTTAACCTGTTAAGCCCTGAGCCTTGGCAGGTTGGCAGCACAAAAAATGATGATTCCTGGGCAAATATCCCCTATTATAGTGTCTATAAGTCTCTAATGAGTGACATATGTCATTAGCTGAGGTTGTGCTGATTTCTGGGATGTGTAAAACTTGATTATACTGTAAAGAAATGACAATTTATAAGGCAAAACACAAAAATATACAAAAACGGAAATGTGGGTCTCAGAGGGTTGGAAAATGACTGATTAGTGATATTGGGCTATATCAAATACAGTTGAATAGATAACAACAACAAAGGAGTCAAAGTCAGTCGAAGTCAACTTTATTGTCAATCTCAAAATATGTTTGTACACACAGAAAGATTGAAAAATACTGTTTAGGAGGAGTCTAAGGTCTGAATTCCCTGTATCATTTTTTTGTTCCGCAGAGCGTCATTGGGCTATACTAAATAAACTTGACTTGATAATAACCACAATGGTGTCTAAGGTCTGCATCTTTTTTTTCACAGAGCGTTGCCTCCATCGTTTCTTTTGCTTCAAAGACGGCTCAAATCCCTCCGCGGCTGATCAGACTGTCTCTGCCCCGACTGAAGCAGAGCAACATCTGCCTCCAGATCGGACCTCCAGCCGACTCAATCTGGACCGTAAGAGCACCGACAAATCATTTCATTATCTATTAGTGGCAGAGGTGGGAAGTAGTGCAGTACAAATACTTCGTTACTGTACTTAAATAAATGTTTCTGGTATCAGTACTTTACTCCACTACTCCGACGACTTTTTCCTTTGACTTCTTACATTTTGAACACAAATACCTGTACTTTCTACTTCTTACATGTTGAACACAAATACCTGTACTTTCTACTTCTTACATGTTGAACACAAATACCTGTACTTTCTACTTCTTACATTTTGAACCCAAATACCTGTACTTTCTACTTCTTACATGTTGAACACAAATACCTGTACTTTCTACTTCTTACATGTTGAACACAAATACCTGTACTTTCTACTTCTTACATGTTGAACCCAAATACCTGTACTTTCTACTTCTTACATGTTGAACCCAAATACCTGTACTTTCTACTTCTTACATGTTGAACACAAATACCTGTACTTTCTACTTCTTACATTTTGAACACAAATACCTGTACTTTCTACTTCTTACATGTTGAACACAAATACCTGTACTTTTTACTTCTTACATGTTGAACCCAAATACCTGTACTTTCTACTTCTTACATGTTTAACACAAATACCTGTACTTTCTACTTCTTACATGTTGAACACAAATACCTGTACTTTCTACTTCTTACATTTTGAACACAAATACCTGTACTTTCTACTTCTTACATTTTGAACACAAATACCTGTACTTTCTACTTCTTACATGTTGAACACAAATACCTGTACTTTCTACTTCTTACATTTTGAACACAAATACCTGTACTTTCTACTTCTTACATTTTGAACACAAATACCTGTACTTTCTACTTCTTACATTTTGAACACAAATACCTGTACTTTCTACTTCTTACATTTTGAACACAAATACCTGTACTTTCTACTTCTTACATGTTGAACACAAATACCTGTACTTTCTACTTCTTACATGTTGAACACAAATACCTGTACTTTCTACTTCTTACATTTTGAACACAAATACCTGTACTTTCTACTTCTTACATTTTGAACACAAATACCTGTACTTTCTACTTCTTACATTTTGAACACAAATACCTGTACTTTCTACTTCTTACATTTTGAACACAAATACCTGTACTTTCTACTTCTTACATGTTGAACACAAATACCTGTACTTTCTACTTCTTACATGTTGAACACAAATACCTGTACTTTCTACTTCTTACATGTTGAACACAAATACCTGTACTTTCTACTTCTTACATTTTGAACACAAATACCTGTACTTTCTACTTCTTACATTTTGAACACAAATACCTGTACTTTCTACTTCTTACATTTTGAACACAAATACCTGTACTTTCTACTTCTTACATGTTGAACCCAAATACCTGTACTTTCTACTTCTTACATGTTGAACTCAAATACCTGTACTTTCTACTTCTTACATTTCCCAAACAGGCTGGTTCCTTTAGTTTGAATGTGTGTTTGGTGGCGTGATCATTATTATTTAGAGTCATTGCGTGCCTATTGATTTGAACACGATCCGTGTATCCATCATTTCCTGGTCTTCTCTAAAGAAGAGGGACCAATGAAAACGTTGTCATGTTGCCGTTGTTCAGCATGGAAACATTCATTAGCTAACAATGACATTATTGTTCTATTAATATAAAGGGAGGTCAGGTACTCTTTAAAACAGCTGCTAGTTATGGGTACTTTTTACTGAAGTACATTTCAAAGCCCTCTTTACTTTGACTTGAGTAAAGAAGTTTAGTCAGTACTTCTACTTTTACCAGAGTATTTTTTAAACACGAGTATCTGTACTTCTACTTGAGTAAAGCATGTGTGTACTTTTGCCATCTCTGATTAGTGGAGGTTCTTTTAAAACCCTCCTAAACAGTAGAGGACTCCACATTCAGTTATTCTTGTACATTCTTTCAAAGCAGTCTTGGAAGAAAGTCGTCTCAACAAAGCAAGAACAGTTTTGGCTGAATGTCTGTTTGCTCGACATCATCAGTCAATTAAATTAAAATATGTTCCAGCTGTTCAAACCAGCTCCATGTCGAGAACTGTAGAGCTGTTTTCTCATGATGAGTTTCAATTAATGTGGAATTTTCCATCAGTTTCCTTTCATAGGCCAAACCGCTATTGGATGCATCCTCTGCTGAAACACCACAGACAGATTTCTCTTTTACTATCCGTCCTTTCCATCTTTGTTTTTTAAAGTCTGGCTCTTACATAGAAAGATTTGAAAACTGAACATTTAGATTGATGACTTTCTGAAGTTGCTGGAAATCTGTTCTCAAACTGTGCACAACATTGCTGAATTTCCCAAATCAGGTTTCAAAGGCGGCGAGGAAAGCCACAGCAAGTGATCGAGTTGAAATGTTAGCGACACCGAAACAGCTTTCCAAAAACTACGTCCCTCCTCGAGATCCAGAGTGGAGCAGAAACACCGTCCTGTCCTCCTGAGCGTCCGTCAACAAGTCCACCAAGTCCACCAAGTCAGAGTTTATAGAGTTTGGATCCTCCTGAGGAGAATTCAACGTCACCTGAAGCAGAAAACTGTTGAAATGGTGAATAACAGTAATGACGAGCATTTAACTTCTATTCAATGTTTTTCGAATTATTTTGAAAAGCTTTATATCAAGCCCTGATGTCATAAAGCACCTTTTTACTTTATTTGATTGTACATTGATACATTTTACTCTGTGTTTTTGTATGCACCACATATACACAAGAAAATGCCTCGTATGTGTAAACCTACTTGGTAATTAAACCCATTCTGATTGGTGAATTGTGCCCGTTATATTGGCTTTGCTACCTGATGTTTTGTCTTTTTTATCCATAGGCGCTTTCACACCGGAGTACATTTAGCCGTACTTTTCCCGTTTAGTTCCGATAGTGCCTGGAATTTTGCGTTCACACCAAAAAGAGAACTTAGTTCAGAGAACTTTTACCCCCATTGTTAGTGCCTGCTAGAGAGGTGGGACTATCCTGGGGGGAAAAAAGTACCAATTTCTGATTGGCTGGGCGAATTGCAAACCACGCCCCGTAAAACTCTGAAAAGTTTTTTTAAGCCGCCATTGTATTTGCTGGCATTAGCATTATTAGCATTAGCCCAGCGCACCAACGGAGAGAGAATAACTTATGGCAGCAAAAATAAAAACATGGGAGCAATGGAGATGAGGAGGTGTTGGCGTTCTGGCGATTTACTCGGAAGGCTTCAGTAGAAGCTGCTGAGAGTCCCAGCAGCTTCTACTGAAGCCAGTCCCCAACTCCGGGGACTTCCGGCCGGGGACTTCGGGTGGTAGTATACACCGTGAAGTGGTTTGCGGCCTGCCAGTAAACCCAAAGCAGAAGAAGAAGAAGTGACGTCAGTGGCTTGATTTGCGTAATCTTCCCTCAGGGAACTTATTCCGGTGTGAACGCGATCAGCTCTTTAGTTCCATGGGGGAACTAAGTGCTGGGACTAAGTACGGCAAAGTACTTGGTGTGAAAGCGGCTCATGACTTTCATTGCTTGTATGTTAAGTCTGAGTGCTATGAAATTAAATGTATTCATATCATATCATGTGTCAATTCAATGAGAGCAAACATACCAGGATCAAGACATTGGGTTAGGGTTAGGGTTAGGGATCCAAGCTTAAAGACAATAAAAGTAGTGTTTTTATTTGTCCTTTCTTTGATACTTTGATCCTGTTTTGCTCAACTGTGGTTGTTTTAAACATGCTATATAAATGAACTATAGATTTGTACCGTGATAAATATGTTAAAATCCCAGTTGAATTTGAGACGTCTGGAGGGGAAATGTGAGGGAGAACAGCAAACATTTATACGTCTGTTTCTCTTTTGATGACATTACCATGTGTCTAAAGACTTGAATATAAAATCTAGACTGCAGTACTATAACTCATGAATGATTTGTGGTTTTAAATCTCAGACATTTTAAATAAATCACGGCAGGGAAGATAAATAATGTTCGTCCACTGTGTTTTTCCTTTGCTGTTGAGCTGGATTTTGCATTTATATCACAACCACATGTGTTTGAATCCCTGCAAACAGACAGCCTCTGTTCACTGACTTTATTTTGTAGGTATTTTGGCCTTGAAAGTGTAATATTTCCACTGAGGCAACGCTGTGCCTTCTCTTCCAGTTCCACCACTTCCTCATCTCTCTCTGAAGTTCTGATTTGGCACAGATGTGCGTCTGCCATTAACTTTTCTTTTCAACGCGGTGATGTGTGTCACTTAGGCCAGTGGGTGTGTGTGTGTGTGTGTGTGTGTGTGTGTGTGTGTGTGTGTGTGTGTGTGTGTGTGTGTGTGTGTGTGTGTGTGTGTGTGTTGTGTGTGTGTGTGTGTGTGTGTGTGTGTGTGTGTGTGTGTGTGTGTGTGTGTGTGTGTGTGTGTGGGTGTGTGTGTGTGTGTGTGTGTGTGTGTGTGTGTGTGTGTGTGTGTGTGTGTTTGTTTGTTTGTGTGGGGGTGTTGGGTGTGGGAACATTTTCCCAAAGCCTCTCAGTATCCCCCTTTCAGAGGTCATAACTTTGTTGGTAACACCACAATCGGGCCACAGTTTAGTTCAGTGAGAGTGCCTGGAAATCCACTAAGATCCCATTTACACTTGTGTAAGTGAGTGTTACATAAAGAGGAGTCATTGTGGTGTGTGCTGCTGCAGTTTGATGTGAGCGCTGCTCTCGGTGTGGGCTGTAAATCAGTGCAGCTTGTAGCTCAACTCGGCTAGACATGAAGGAGATTGGACCGACGTCCCTCTGGGAGGCTAATCTGGGATTAGCCCGCCATGATGGTGACCCCAAGCAGAGGAGGAAGTTAGCTGCACGTCAAATCAAGCGCTTCCTTAACTAACAGGCAGACACCAGCCAGTGAGAGAGAGGTTTGATAGTACTTTAGGTGAGCCATGACTCAGATTGTTGAATGTATCTCTCTGTTATGAAGGTTTTTCTGCATGTAAATGGTCTGCAGAGTCACAAACCCTCAAAGTACACCCTGTAGCGAGTAAAACTCTAACACAGAAAAGACCTGTCTATGCTGCCCCAGAACGCCTCGTTGGAGATTTCTCTTTTTCCATTGTTTACTTCTTGGGTATAGTGACGTATTTCGGGTATAGTGACGTTACGTTACGTCCGCGGAGCCGTTACGTTTGGACCAATCCGCGGACTTCCTCACACACACACACTCGGCGGGACGTTGCGAGGCTCGCTGCTGCGAGGAGCGGGACACTGTGAGCTGGCTCACTGGTGTTGGGTTGGTGAGACAGCGAGACACTGCGGAACTCAGCCTGAGCACACACACAAACTCCCAGCCAGGCTGCGGGTGTGTGTGTGTGCCCAGGCTGAGTTCCGCGGTGTCTCACAGGGAGGGGGGGGGCAGGAGCTCCAACATGCCGTTTAGGACAGAGAGTGAATACACATACTATACAGAGATGCTGTATGAGAAACCAATGTGAGTTTGGAAAATTGCACAATATAAATCTATTTTAGTAGACCTCAACAATGGAATTATGATCAGTAGAAATGGCCATGACATGGGACCTTTAAAATTTGAAAAAATATCATGGAAAAAGTCATAGTATGGTGTGTTGAAAATGTCATATAAAAGACATGGTACAGTTTGTTAAAAAAGGGTTATACTGTAGTATAGTCAGTCGAAAATATCATAGCAAAAATATAAGTTAATAGTTGGAAACGACCATGAGAAAAGTCATTGTAAAGTACCATGAAAATATCATAAGAATCATTAAAAATATCAAGAAAAAGTCATAGTATAATATCTCTAGAAATGTCAAAAAAGTATTTGTGTAGTATGTCGAAAATATCATAAAAAAGCCATAGTATAGTTTAGTGAAAAATATAATGAAATAAGTCATAGTATAGTGTGTCCAAAAGAAAGTCATGTATATAAAAGGTGCATCTTGTAATAGTGTAAGATGTAAATTGCCCCCCGTCCAATAAATGAAAGAAAGCCTGGTTTATGTCTTAGGAAATACATTTTGGTTAGTAACCAGCCAACGGTCATTTAACAGGTTAACAGGTGTGATTACAGTCAGTGTTTCTGACATAATATAATCTCTAAAGAAGGATATGTTTCTTATGTAACTAATACGTTGACTGACTTCCCGTTCGCTGTCTCTCAGCCGTCTTGCTTTTTCACTTGTTCTGTGCCAACATCCTCACACAGGATGTGGAGAGCCTGCTGCCCACACCTTCTGCAAAACACAGGAAACACTTATAAATAGATGCTTCAGATAATAGTAAAAACACTTAGCATTAATTACATTAACGGATTTATTTTTAAGGAGGTTCTTGTTATGACACCTTCCTGCTTTACACCTCTGTGATTTAACACATATGTAACAGTTCAGTGCTTAAGAACAATCACCTATTGGAAGAAAATGGAGCTTAAGCTTGATCTCCTGAAGTTGCTACAGATTATAAAGTATCAGGCGCGTTCACACCGGAGTACTTTTCCCCGTACTTTTCCCGTTTAGTTCCGATAGTTCAAGCCAGAGCCCTATAATAGAAATACAGCGCTGGTTCAAGCTAACCAAGCTTATAAAGTTCCTTACAAATACTAAAATGATCTCTATCTTTTTCTATGTTTCCTTTGCACGGTTGTTACTCTGCAAACATCCATGTCAGGGTGGAGTAACAGGAACTCTCTCCAAACAAAAACGTCTCTGGTAAATATTCCCTGAGCTGAGAGGAACTGGCTGCAGTCGTTTTCTGCTGCTGTGGGTTTGAACCAGAACCAGTTGGACCTTCACTCTGCAAACTCAGTATTTACTTCATTAATAACCATGATATACTGCCGGGGATGAGGTACATCCATGTGGCTTTACTTGGGTTTATTAGTTTGAGTAAATGGTCCCAACACAGGAGGAACAGATGTGTGAGAAATGTGTATCTTCATGGTGTCGACTTTACAGGAGGGAAGAAAAACGACCTCCAGTTTATCTGAGAGTTTATCTAAAGGTGTTGCAAAAATCTAAGGATGGTCAGGTTTGAATTTTGCTTTAAAGGTTTGCCACAGTTTGTCTGACGGTGCTTAATTTATATTCCCAATCCCCCAGATTTTCACATTTTTCGATAACAGTTCACAGCAGATCAGTGCTGGCTAGCTAATTTTAGCGTGTGACGAATATTTTTTTATTTGTGTTAATTAAGAAGTCATATTTTATAAGATACACTCCCAGATTTTTCTGTCACTAAAGCGGGGTACATCCGAATGTTTCCTCCCACATGAGGGTGTTTTGAACGTCAACTCTCAACTGTGTTTTCTTTCACAACATCTCTGACATATGGGAGCGGAGTTGGATGCTTCAACAGAAGAAGGGAGGGTACATTTTAAATGGGGAATGTCAACAGATTCTTTGTGGTTTTTGTTATTAATAGCATGTGCAAACATTTCAATCAGGAAAGACTTCACTTGTTGTTTAAAGAACATTTACTTGCGCATGCGCTGTATGATGGGAATGTAAATAGTCTTTGGAAATTAAAACTCGATCCTGATATCGTATATTTTAAGAGGAAGTGCAGCTGTGAGCATATAGGAAACCCACCCTTGGGGTCTAGACACTGGTGGTGATGATGAAGATCTGGATTGATGAGGAAGAGGGATGAAGGGGAGGTGTGATGAGGAGAAGGGATGAAGAGGATGCTGAAGATCTGGATTTGATGAGGAGAGGAGATGAAGAGGATGCTGAAGATATGGATTGATGAGGAAGTGTGATGCAGAGGATGCTGAAGATATGGATTTGATGAGGAGAGGAGATGAAGAGGAGATGTGATGAAGAGGAGGTGGTTTTTGGATTATCTCTCCTGACTCTGGATGTGATGAAAGGAGGTAGATGGGGTGGAGGCCGCAGCATGAACACCTGAAA